TCAAATGATGTAATTATATTATGAAAACATTTGAAATACATTACTAAAAGTAATTTTAGATGTAAATTTAACACTGTAGTGGATATTTTAGAAAAGATATTAGTCTGAAAGGAGAAAATTTTCTGTTGACTACCACATTGGCATAATGGTAGAGGCAGACAACCCACGCGGGGAGAAACCCAAGCCGTAAACAAAGGAGAGTTTTCGCTAAGTTTTCATGTTCAAAAACGACCAAAAACGGAAAGTAACTGGCAACTGACGAACAATTATTTTGCTGTTAACTAAATAGACAGTATCTTGGTACAAAATAACTTATTTACGTGGTTGGAATTCGCTGTGGCGTATGTCGGTCGCGCGAAGCAAGTGTTCACCAAAGAGCAAAAACATGGCGATGTCGTTCTTCCACTTTTCGACTAACAACAACAACAAGTACCAGTAACGTGGCGATTGCGGAGAAACGATGGCGAAAGCGGAAAGACGGACACCGAACTTATTCCAAAAGGTGGAAGTGATCCGACTGGCAGAGAGAGTGAGAAGAAATCGTCGAAAGCTGAGCTTAGATTAAATGATTTTGCAGTCGATAGAAATTTGTTTGGAGTTGAAAGTTTGTTGCTTGATTTGCTTTCTTTTCTTTAGCCACATGTAGTACTAGTAATAGTAGTATGTACACAAGAACAGTAAATGACAACCAGTGATTTTGTATGTTTTAAATTATGTGAATGGTTTCATTGTCCCAGAATAGATGAACTGAATATGTTGAGTGTATGTATCTTTGATGTCAAGTTAATGTTTCCATGCAATATTTCTGTATTTCTTTTTTTTCAAGCAAGTACAAAATAAAGTACAACTAAAGCAAAAGAACAACAAATTATTGAACTAAGACATGTACATATAAAAGGGGTGTACCTTTGCAAATGTATGTATTCATATGTTTCAGAATAAAGACATCACTGTTGGTACTCAAAGCATGTGTCCCTTTTTTTGGGGGGGGGGGGTTCGAACTAACCGGCTGTTTCTCTATAGTGGTCACCTGGCCATAGTGGTCAAATTTGGCCAGTCCCTTGAGTGACCACTATAGGCAGGTTTGACTGTACATATCTTCTACTACTAGAAAAGTATTTGTTAGATAAGTATTTTCTTATATCATGAATGAATAGAAACAGGACTAAACTTTTCATCAGTCAAAGTTTGCTTGTTTAACCTATACTATATATTATGTGTATGTATTTATTTTTTATTGGTTTGGCTGTTCAACGATCACAGCCATGCAGCCCAACTAGCCAGTAGTAGTGTTACAAAGGGGCTTGCCCTGCTGACAAGACATGACAAAACATTATGGCAACATACAATGTATAAGGTGGCTTAACAATCTATAAAACTATGACATTATTCTATGTAAATAAAAACTTTATACATATACATTGGAACTTAATCTATGAAAGATATATATATTATGTGTAAACTCTTAAGTATCCTGGATATCCTCTTCTATCTGGTAGTGAAATTACATGTACATCAGTGGGTATTATTGCTGTGTACCGGTTTGCTGGACCGGTTCCGGACTATGTTTAGGTTCAGGTAAAAAAAAACCTGAACGTTGGGAACCAGTTCCAGACTTACAAAAAAATAAATCATGTCACATTCCCTTTTCGTTCCAAACCACCTAAAGCTATCTGTTGATCAAACAATTTTCTCTGCAAAGTGAAAAAAACATTGCCAATGCACATTGTGGTCATGTGTCAGCCTCCACAATTATGTGGCCATTGTTTCACCCAGACGTGTTGTGCAAACAATACATCTTGATATATTGCTTCTAAACCGTGGTGCATTGCCCACTATAAAATGTTTGCCAACATGCAATTTTGTATATGCCATGGGTCTAGGACAGGTCTTAAGTCCGGACCTGAACTTGAATCCGGACCTGAACCTTAACATGAGTTTAGGTACACAGCACTAGTAGGCATTGTCATTTGCTATATTCTGTTCTGGACATGACTGCATGACTGTTTTTCTATGTGTAAAGCAGAGTCCACTGTTACCTTCACTGACTGTGCAAGATGTTAGTCCAGAGCGATATATTGCCATGTAAGATAAAATGTACATGACAAGGTCCTAAGCCTGGATGAAGCAATTGAGCTGATATAACAGAACAATGTCCCCTGCATGTCTGTACAGGACAAGACCAAGTTGATGGATGGGCTGAAGCACGCCTCCAACATGCTGAGTGAGCTCAGGACATCCATGCTGACTCCCAAGAGTTATTACGAGCTGTGTATCCTTCATTACAACCTTTGGTGTGCCGTGGGGCTCAAACAGTTGTCACTAATGCAGCATTGGTGAAATGCTTTGGGGACATTCAAGGTGGATTACAAGTATTCATTGCTCCAAGCTAAATCTCTTACAGTATACTGTTTTCATATTGAAGTTCTGTATACCGTCCAGTAAGAATTGTCTCAACACAGAAAAAGCCTGCTTTCGACTTCTACTGCAAATTTAAGTCTCCTCTGAAATAAATGAATTTCCAGTGTATTTATTTTTATCTGCCACTGTCAAGTGGTCTTCAGTACATGTAGTTGTTCAGAAAACAATGGACTATATTTTAAAAGTACCTGTGTGCCTGTTTCTCATCCACTCATCCTGAATGGCAACTTGAGTATTTAAGTAAGGAAAAAGTATCTCCTTGACTTGATGCTGAACAGACATGGCGATCTCTGATGAGCTGCGCCACCTGGAAATCTACCTGTGTGATGAGTTCCAGAAGGGCAGGAAGGTGGCGGACCTGTACGAGCTGGTGCAGTACGCAGGAAACATCATCCCCAGATTGTGAGTGGACGGGTGGGAGGGGAGTTCGTATTCCCACTCCTTGTTAGAATTACTTGTAACTAGAAAAGTAACATTTGCAAAGCAATGTTTACCTTCGCATATGGTCTTCTTTGTTAATTCTTACTCAAACACATTCACATACATGTATATGGTGACAGGAGTATAAATCCCTCCTACTATAAAATTGCAACATTATGTAACCCAACACCAGTTACCATGGTGAGAGACAGTCTGGTTCAGTCAGGTCAGAGGTCACATTGGAGAAGAAGAAGAAGAAACATAGCAAAACAATATGTTTCCTTTGGTTAAGATAAAGATGTCATAAGAAAATTGCCAGAACCAACAAGAACTAAATGTAGTTTTGTGTTTTAGCGTGTAACCTGAATAGATCATTATTTCATATTAGATTAAA